TCTTTCCCTTGAACAGAAAGATATGATTGCTGATGAAATTCAAATAGTGAAAGAAAATTCATGCTCCAAGGTCAAAAATTTTGAAAAGCTAGCTGCCAAGGAAATATGCCACAAATATCTAGACAAAAAGGCAGGACACTTGCTGGAAGAGATTGCTGTTGATTTTGCATTGGCCATCTGCTTTTGTCTGAGAAAAAAGAATCCTAACATAGCAGAGGTAAATATTTTAAATACAGGAGCAGGAGTTTTGTCTCCTTGACACCAAGGTCTAAAGCTACAACATTCATGCCTTAACTATTATATGAGTATGTATGTTTTACATAAGAATATGTGTAAGCAGGGGTACAGGGATTACTCCTTTTTCACAGATTTCATTGTTTAAAACAGGTGCTTGAAATTATGGAAATGGCTGAAAATAAGTTAAGAGAGCATAATATTTGTGGAGACAGCATTTCTTCTAGATTTTCCATGAACACTCCAGAAGAAACTGATGACGAGACAACTAGTTTCAACATAGATAGTACTTCATGGAGAAATAAAGAAGGTAGCACACCGATAAAGACCATGACAGGTGCCAATCCATGCACACCTTTAACAGGAGTTGTGTCACCTGACATTTACGGTGGACAAATGTCAAGAGTCCCTTGTGAATCAGATGAATCAAGCAGTTTTATATGGAATTCTGCAGAAGGGTCTACAGATGAGCTGTCTCGCAACAGTTGTTACAATTCAGAAAATACCACAACCTCCGAGTACAGGAAAAGGCAAGAAGGACCTGTGAATGGACTCCAGGAAAGAAACGTGGCATCCATCGAAAGCGATGAGAACTTGGAAACAGTGTCTACCGCACAGAGTACCTTTCAACGAAAAAATGCAGACCTTGACGCTGCATGTTCTTCACAAGGTAAATCTAGATAATTCTGAAGGGTGGACATAGAACATTCAGGCAGTTTTCCAGGTGCTATGGCAAAACCGCTTATGCTCCTGTTTTGATAACCACTGCCTTTGTGAAAAGTGCTCTGATATTATAGTAGTAGAGATGAAATACTCTTTTCTCTAGATTTTTTTCAAGTTCTTCTTCCTAGCTAGAAACACATTTCAGTAAATCTTGTATTCCTTGTTTGATATTATCAATAAACCTACAAAATATTCTCTGTTTTCCTATCAGATTTTTTTCAAAAGACAGATTTTTTTTTTTAATCTAAAATTATTGTCTATTCCTTGGACACAGATGGATTTTTTTCTCAATATTTCGGCTTTTTTGTTTTTCAGCAGTGGCCAGAGAGACATCTTGGAAAATAAAGATAAATGATAAAAAAAAGAAGCTCATGGAAAATATTTTACTATATGAAGAAGACAAATTAAACAGTTCTGAACTTTTTGAATCTTAAATTGGATGGATTTATTAGCAGAGACCAGCTCAGAAGAAGAAACAAGGACTGGCTCTTCATTAGAAAGATGGTAAAAGTATACCTTTCATATAAGATTAATTAGCAGATTTTGACCAGAAACTTTAACCCTCTCTGAAGAAAACAAAAAGTGATCACATTTGAAATGAACCAGAAAATATCTGTTCTAAGCAGACTGAAACAAAATACAACTCTGTAAAACATAAATGCCTTCTTTCTTCTCATCTGCAACCTAAAAAAAATATGGCAAATATCAACAACTACCAAAATAATTTTCAAGGTTCTTTTGCAGTGCACTTCAGAAAGCATCTGCACATAATGTATCTCTTATTTAAAATCACAGCCCTAGAAGTCATAGGGCAAGCACTGATCAGCAGCCAGTTAGTAATACTCTTTATTGTTATCACCTTGTACACAAGCAGACAGAAATCTCTGAGGAGACTGGGGATAGTTTCAATTTCCAAAAGCAATATTTCGTATAATCTTATTCCACATACTTGGAAAACAGTCCCTATCAGAGAGAGAATTTTTATGCGAGTTCTCACATGAATTCCATCTGACTCTTTTTCAATTTGAATTGCACTGATAATTGTTGTAGGTGAATAATTTAATCCATGTTAGTCTACTCTATGACCTACTCTACTGCCTGTACATATATGACACCGTCTTAAGTCTAACTTTTAAATTTCACTGTCAACAGCTCTAAAACAGTGTTTAGTACTTCATAAGGATATTTTTGGAAGTTAATTTCTGTGTTCTTTAAGTGTTTTCTGTGTTATTAAGGTTTCTCATTTTGTTTCACATGATAACTATTGTATATTTTGGATTAGGAACAAGATCTTAATTTAAAAACTACTTGATTTTTTCATGGGTCATTTGAAATTTGCTTTGTTAAATTTCTTTTGGCAATGAGTAGATGAATCAGTGAAAGATAAGCTAGTAAATGAACCTGTTCATGAAGCCCCACTCACTGAGAATTCCCAGAGAAGGAATTTTTTGTGTGTGTCTCATGGCTTACCCGGCAACCGTAGTAGCCCTGGGGTCACTCCCTGTGATCTCTCTGAAAAGAAAAGAAAAAAAAAATAGAAGCTTGTTTGCTGTCCTATTTATTATCAAGTGAAAACCCCTCAAGAAAGTGAGTTTCCTATGACTATTTATTATTTGTCTTGCTGTTTTTACTTTTTCCGCTCTTGTGCAGTCTAAGGAAATACAAGTTTATGATAAGCAAAAAGACCATGTAGCTCAGCATACTGATGAAGGTGACTGCCTCAGTAGCACGAACAATCAGGCTCAATGTATGGAAATGGGCAAAATTCCCACTGAAGTTCATAGACTATTTGAAAAAGCATACAAATTTATATGTGATTCTTTTCACTGGAATTGTGTACTGGTGTAACTTTCCAAGCTTTACATTAAGATTGCTGAGTATGGCCTCATAGCTTCTGTATTTGTATAGTACCTAGTTCATTGTGGGTACTATTATGCACATGTAAGAGTATTTTAACTTAAGATCTGAGTATTATAATAACTTGCACATTTGTCAAGTAGATTTTTACACTAAAAACTGATAGAATTCCTTAATTTTAAGTGCCTTGATACTGACCATATATTTTCCAGTGTCAGGTTGTTTTATTTTAGCATATTCAAGAAAAGAAAAAAATGGTACTGACATAAAAAGCATTAAGAGTATATTCAGATTATCCAATAATTGCTTATTTTTTTTAAAGATTTCACTGAGATACCTTATGGTGGTGAAAATTTAATATTCATTTTTTTTGATGTATATGTTTTGGGAGATCCACGGTCAATGCCTCAGGTCTCTTCCAGGAAGAGATGCATATAGACACACCCACAGAGATGAATGAAAAACCTGACTTTTATTTTTGTTTTCCAAAAAGATAATTTAGACACAGTTCTGTTTCACAAAAATACTTGAAAGGTCTTGTTTTCATTCCCACACAGAACAAAAATACTGAAGCTGAAATTGTTATTCTTTGCCTATTTCCATGTTAAGATATTCTGAGGCAGCATGCATGGTCTTGTAGGTTGCATAAACATAACATACCATATATATTTATAAGATATAGCATAGTCTACAGTAATGGTGCTCTGCGACCTAACTGTTGGCTCTTCGGTGTAGCGTACGTTTTAATCTCAACTTGGCAAATTTATATATTCATTAATATCTTTGTCAATAAAATACTGAAAAAGCCCTTTCTGCGGATCTGGTTTTTGCGTGATGCGTGGCACTGCAAACTGTGTCTCAGCCCGGCCTGCTCAAGTAACCCCCCTTCTTAAGGACGCGGCTTACAGTCTCTTTGCACGTAATTATTAGTAATTATAACAGTAGTATAAACACGCATCTGTTCATTCACTGTTACGTAGTTGATTTCTGTTGATCCTTTGAGGCACCCCGAAAGGAAGATTTCGCTCTGAGACTAGTAACGACGGTTGCTGCCGTTTGGATGCGCTGCCTGCATAACGCGCTTCACAGCTAAGGCGTTGTAGCTCTTGCTCAAAAACGAAGGAAATCTCTACTCAGACGCTCTTTTATCAAGAGCACTAGAGTAAGGGCACAACATATAAATGGGGGGGG